TAAGAACAGACACACAGACCAGTGGATTCAAACAGAAAACCCAGATGTAAACTCACAGGTTTATGGACAGCTAATCTTTGACAAAGGAGCAATGAAGAACAATGGAACAAAGAAAGTTTGTTCAACAAATGGTTCTGGGAAAACTGGGAAGCTACATGTAAAAAAAAAAAAAAATGAAACTAGATCACTACCTTTCACTACCTTGCACCATGCACAAAAACCAACTCGAAGTGGATCAAAGATCTAGACATAAGAACAGAAACCATAAAATACCTGGAAGCAAAGATGGGCAAAACACTACATCTCAGTAACATCTTTGAAGATAACAGCATTCAATGAAATGATAGTGAAGGAAAGGATAAACAGATGGGACTACATCAAGTTAAAGAGCTTCTGTACAGCAAAAAGAGACATTACAAAAAACAAAGAGAAGTCAGAGGCCTTCCTATACACAACCAATCAGAAGAAGCAGAAATTTAAAAAAAAATCCCCTTTTCAATTAAAACAAAAAGAATCAAATACCTGGAATAAACCTAACAAAAGAAGTAACAGACCTATACAAAAAAATTTGTATAGGTTGGAAATTTTTTTTTCACACAAAACTAGCAATAAAGGATTGATCACATAGATATACAAAGAACTAATGAAACTCAACAAAAATAAAGTTAACAACCCCATCAAAAAATGAGCATAAGAGCTAAAAAGACACTTCCCAAAGAGGAAATACAGATGGCAAACAAACAATTGAAAAAATGTTCAACATCACTTGTAATAAGGAAAATGAAAAATAAAACTACAATGAGATACCACCTCACACCAGTGAGAATCTTAAAACAACTAGCAATAATAAAAGTTGGCAAGAATGTGCAGAAAAAGGAACTCTCCTGCACTGCTAGTGGGAATGCAAACTAGTACAAGCACTATGGACAACTGTTTGGAGGTTTCTCAAACTGCTAAAAAATGGAGCTTCCATATGACCCAGTAATCCCACCCCTAAAGACACAACAACACTGATTCAAAGGAT